CCAGTGCTGTGAACCTGCATTACTTCTGCATGTGCTAATTGAATCATCTCAAACTTCCTGACCTTAGCTTAGTTCTGGCCACACAGTGGTTTGAAGAGAGACACCCTTCCCCAGCTTCCCCTCTCTCTTTCCAGTTTTGGATTCCAGTTGGGGGAGGGAGGGCATCTTCTTGCACAGTGTATCCTGGCTCTCTAACCTCAGGCCCGCTTTCTCTTTCCTGCTTATCTTCTGTCCTTGAGAGCCTGCCCCAGATTCTCCACTGGGAAACGCTGGACGCGCCCAGTGCTTCCAAGAACCACTGCCTGTCACAGGAGCAGGAGGTGCAGGAATTACTCCTACCCACACAAGGCCATGCTCCCAAGGCTGTTTGCTTTATTTATATTACTGGTGCTCTTCAAAACAAGCTTCTTTTACATTTTGAATAACACTAATAAAACCTCAGCAGTCTGGGAAAAAAACCTCAGAGTTAGCAAGTGAGCTGTATTTGAATTACTCACCGGCTGCGTGTGTCTCTTGATCTGCTGGCCACCCGGATGTGGCCCCAGATAGCTTGTGGTGATCTAAGTATGAAGTAGCTGCGCTGCTGTGGGTTTGTTCTGCCTGTATGTGGAAAAAGGTTTCCGTGGTCTGATGCTTCAAGTGTCAGCTAGAAACCTTTGGTGAGAGTCCTGTCAGCAGCACTGGCTGGGACTGCCTTTCCCATTTCTGTGCTTTTCAGTTCAAATCCGGGCTCTCTCAACCTGCCAAAATTAAATAGGACTGCCAAGGATTAATTAGTGGTTGAACTGTAACAGGCTTAAAATTGGTGAAAGTCGTGAATGTGTAGTGTCTTTTCTAGTACTTAATTTCACTGAAGGTGACGTAAGTTGCAAATGGAGTGAGCTGCTAATTGCTCTAATGAAAATACAGCATCTGTCTGAGCTGCATTTGTTACTCAGTAGAGGATCAAGGGCCTTGTGTTCCTCTGTTCCTCTGATGTAGGTGTTCAGTGAATTTTAGGCCAGCTTTATGTCAAGTTGATATGAAGTTATGCTTGCTTGTAACTTACCAGAGCTCTTGGCGTTAAGTCTCTGTTCTGAAAACTGAGTGGCTCCCAAATATGTTTTTCAAAGCTTAGAGTAGAAAGCAAATTTATAACCAGAATATGCCATTAGTACAGAGCTGTAGCAGTTTGGGGTTGTCTTTGTCCAGTGCAAAAGAGACTGTGCTTTTTAATATTTAATCATTTGCAGATGGTATTTCAAACACCGCTGAAGGGGTGAGAACTAATGACAGTAAATTTCTTTCACTTACGGTCTGTGGGAGGTTTACAGCTTGGGCTTTTCTGGGTCTGAGAGTTTGCTGCTGTAGTCTTGGCAGCATCCCTTTGCAGTGGAGGTGTGGCTTGTACTAGCCAAAGGACTCTTGTCGTGGTGTAAGTTCTTTGACTTCAGAGGTTTTTCATCTGTGTCGATCTATGGGACGAAGATGTGACTTTGTCTTCAGGTTCTTAAACTTTGGGCGGTGCTCGCTTTACTTTTGGTCTTGCGTTGCTCACTTCAGTTCCTTTTCTAGCAGTGCACTTTTGAGCTGTCCTTTTGCCTTGCTGGTTTATGTTGCCAAGTAAAACCAGTAATGCTCTCGTACCACTGGTGGAAAATAAGTTCTTCAAGCAGCACCTTTAATTAAATATTTGCGTATGGATTATCTTTTGTCACTCTTAAGTAATACTGCTATTAGAAAAGTGAACTGTTTTAGCTCCTAGGACTGGGATTAACAGCTCCTTGGAGGCCTTTATTTTAAAGGGATCCAGACTTGGAATTGATTATGTTTGAAAAGAGAGAGGGGAGGGCAGGAAAGGTTTGCTTGGATTAAATGGCTTAGTCAGACTTTTTCTCATTTTGAAGAGAAACTTTTCTGTACAGAAAAAACTTTCAGTGTGGAGAAACTGGTATGTACATCATAGGCAAACATGAAGTATTTTTTAATCCAGTAAGTTATGATGTGAAGCATTTTTTAATTATCTAAGTTAAAAATGAAGCAGAAGAACAGGTGAGTAGAATTGTTTTCCTAAGATCTTTCTTTGTTGCAGTTTGAGAAGCTGGATTTCATGACACTAATGAGCAAATGAGCTATTTCGATTGCTGTTGCAATTGATTGTGTTGAAACTGTGGCACCACTCTGGTCTCTCAATTCGAGTTTGCCTCAGATTCTTTTTGTTGTCAGGACTTAGCTTTGCTAGAATCTAGTTCAGTATTTTTCCCACTGATTGTTAGTTTAGTCCATTACGGGTGAAACAATGGCAGCGGTAGACGTTGCAGCTCCTGCGAAATCCGGAGCTGTTCAGCAAACCAGCAGTTCTCAGCCTTCTTGCCCATCGAGGGCATGCTGCTTGTTGGACTTTGCTATGAGAGAGCAAGGAGAAAAGTGATGGCTCTGAATCGTTCAGGAGTGTTCTTAAAAACTGTCAGGTATATTGCACAGTTACTGGGCAGGTATTGCTGAGGCTCCGAGAAGCAGTGAAACAATTACCTTCACGTGCTTAGCCCTTCATAGAGTACCCAAGGCTCGCCTTGTTGGCAGAAGCCCCTTGTATACGTGGCTCAGTTGAGAACACTGCGATTTTGCTGGGTTCATTTGTTTTACCTGGATGGAAGCGTGGCAGGAATAAGCTGTCCTAGCAAGACTGTGGTTTGGCTGACGTTTACTGGGGCCGCTCAAGGAATGTTTTGGAGGTGCCATACACAATAGACAGACATGTAGAGTTTGTAGTGTAAGAGCAGGCATAAACTGGATCTAGTGTAGAGAAGTGTTTAAGTGCTAGAAGAGCAAGTATGAGAAAATTGGCATGAGGAGATGTTATGTCCTGATTTTTATGATAACCAAGTTGCGTGGTGACTCGTAGAGAGTTGCAAAAGAGCTAGACCCTATTGCAGTGCTTACGCTGCTGAGCTGTGCTGTCTTGGACATCTCTATTAGTGGGGGTAGCCAGGTTCCTTTCTACGTTGTAGGTAGTGAACTCTTCACTGTTTTCTGTATGGTGGGAATACCTTACCTGAGTAATAAATGATATTCTTCATCCTCTCTGCATTTCTATTCCCCTCCCACCCCCTACCAAAAAAAAAAAAAAAAAAAAAAGATAAATTGCCACATGCTGTTTACATCTAAGATGACTAGAGTGAAAAATGCAGAAGAGCTTCTTAAGCCTGACTTTAAATACCTGCTTTTTCAGGTGCTTAGCATTTGACTTTAAAGTCCAATTGTTAATGTTTTATTTCCATCTATAGACTCCTTTATTCTCAGCTAGATGATGCCTACCTGTAATGCTTGGGACAGATGTGGCTAAGAGAAAATTTGTTATAATAGTCCGTAAGTCAGAATCAGGTGGTTAGAGGAGGAGGGTCAAAGTCCATTTCTGAACCTGAAGAAAAATACAAACTGTTGTAAAATACAGGGTGTGATGTACTCAGTGAGGCTGGGACAATTTGCATGAAACATCCTATATGGTGTGTGTGGCTGATGCCTTCCCCTTGTGTTTCTGGATTCTTCTACCTTTGGATTAGTATTTTTAGTTATATAGTGAAGATGAATAGATATTACTATGCAGGCTTTACACTCTTTTGTAGGCTCAGATATATCCTTATTGCACGCTTTGAGATGCAGGTTTTTAGCAGGGAAAGGGATTTTTAAGGTGATTAACTGGTTTCCTGCATTGATACTGCTTTGTTAATGCAAAGATAAACACTAATTGTAGAAGCTGATGGTGGTGGTGTCATATGGAGTGAGCTGTTACTGTAAATGTGAGGAACCACTTCCCAGAGGAAGCTGTGTCATTCTTTTTATAGTTAGAGCATCAAAATTTCTGTGGCAGTATGTGCATTGTTGTCCTTTAAGGGAAAAACTGTGTGAGCGTGTGAAGTGTCTTCAGAGTGGCTGGTAACATTTATTGCACAAGAACAAGCGTTTGCTTTGTACGGTTGTGTTACCTGCACACACTTGTTGACTAACTTGGACTTCAAAGTTTTGTTTTTCAAAAGCCTTTTGAGGGGAACTAGTTAACTGTGCTTGCTCTACAACATGGATATTGAGAGAGATTTAACCTCAGGCTGGAGAGTCAGAAATTACATATAGGGAGCGTGGGCTGGGTGGGGATTACTTGTTTATTGCTTTACCTCAAGGGAAGGTAAATGAGAAGAGCCTGTTTACGCACCAAGCCATTGCAACTATTGCTGCTTTTTTCTTTTGGTGCAAGTGAGAATGTCCTAGGGAACGTGGGATTGTGTTTGGAGGAGGACAAGTGGAATTTTAGATAGGCATGTTGCCTGAGGAATGTGCCTTAGTGTTTTGCTATTATGTTACAGTCCAGATAACTCTGAATTCATTTCCCTTATTCTTTCAGCTGTTTTTCAAGATCATAATGCAGCAGAAAAATGAAAAACCATAGAAGACGTTTGCTTTGGAAAAGAAGTCAGTTGCTGTCCCAGTCTAGAAGATGGACTGCTGGATTGGGGAAGCCTGGGAAATACTGCTTCCAAAAGCCATTTTTCCTAGCTAAGAGGAAAAGACAGAGTGCTCAGTTAATTGAGAGCTTAAATCACAACAAACCGTACAGAAGACTGCAGTGCAGAAGGAAGGCACTTGAGCTCCGAAGCAGGTGGGCTCCTGATGTGCCTCTAAATGCAGAAACCTATCAAAACCCTACTATTGAACAATACAGCTTTCCTTACAAAACTACTGACAGCAAAACGATCCTGTCTCTATTGCAAAGCTGAAAGCCCATCTGGAGAAGCAGTAAGAAAACTCAACAATGAATCCTTTCAGAGTGAAGATCCCTTGAATGAAGAATTTGAAACTGTTGCTATTCTTAATAGCATCTCTGGCAATGTCCATTATGTCTCATGTAGTATGCTGGATGGTGCTGCCTTACCTGTAAAGGAAGGTGGTTTTGCATATAGTGGGGAGGAGAGCAATAATGGTGAGGGCAACACAGTCCTAGTAGTTTTAAACAACTATAAAAGGAAATGCTGTTGCAAAGGGAATGGAATGGAACTTGTGGCCCCTTGACAACTCTAAAGAGGTCCGAATTTAACCATCATGCTGTAAAAAAGAGATCTTTATTTATGATGCATAAGAAACTTTCTATGGTTAGGTTTCGGTATAGAATTAAAAAATCCCCAGAACTTCGAGCAAGAGGCAAAACCTGCAAATTGAGAAAAATCAAGCCAAGGTGGGTGGAGAAAGTTACGAGGGACCATCAAGAGACGCTCCAGCGGGATTTTGAAAGTGGATTGTGTAATTGGCTTTCCTACTGGAATTCTAAAAGTAACTGTCTTTGGAATCGGTACAGCTTACCAGATATGAACAATAATACACCCAAATCTTTAGGTGAGGAGAATGAAATATGTGCACCTGAGATCTGCCAAACGTGGGATGCATTACCGTGTGCTGAGCCATGTTCTGAGGAGGCAGAATCCAGAGGGCAGGATGGCAGTGGGGATGCTGTCCCACCAGAACTGCATGCTAGAGCTTCTCCGGAGGCAGAGACCTTGCACCAGGTGGAGACCAATGGGGCTCTGGCAGAGGATCAGTGCTCTGACATTTTTGTCTCTGTGACAGGAAAAGAAATCGCTGTTTCAGGTCAAGATGACACAGAATCTAATGAGATTATGGGTGTAGATGGAATGATGCTGTTGCAATCCTCCTTGCCCGATTCTGATGTCGATGATTTTGCAAACGGACCTTTATCCATGGAGCTGGCACAAAATGAGGACAGCTCTAGCCAAATGGAAGTAGAGGGCTCCTTAAACCTGGACATTTTTAGTGCAAAGTTACTAGATCACCCTTACTGTAAAAGTCCTCTTGAGGAGCCTTCACCAGAAAGCACAGGACTAAAATCAGGAACTCGGAAGGGAGGCAAAAGGAACAGTCAGAAAATTTCCCGGGTGGCTGACGAGCAGTTGGCAACGTGGCTTTGTGGTATATCTTTTACATATCTTAGGGCTTCCAGGAGTTCCTGAAAACTGCTGGATGTATCATGGAGTTTACATGTTGTGTTAATTCCTTTATTAAAATGGATTCTTCTTGTGAATTGTAAAGGGTACTTAGCATCATGCTTAATGAAATGAGGCTGCAAAGAGGAAAGCTGCAGGAAGGAAGGACAAATCAATGCTTATCTGACAAGCTATTTTGAGGGATGATTGGTGCCTCTGCTTTTGTTTTAGAGAATACAATGTAATTGGAATCTTTGTGGAAAATTGTTGATAGACATTTTAAATGTCTTACTATGTGGTTTCTGAGATGGTAATGGGGTTAAAACTTCCAATTTTTTAAATGGTTGACAATTATTACTCTTAATTGTTTTTTGAAAATTCTTAGTGTTCTAATACTTCCTTCCAGCCTTACGCTCTGTTCTCTTGCTCTTAGACTGAAACTAAATCACTTAATGAATCTCAGGTTTTAATAGCCAAATACTGTTCATTCTCACTTAGTTTTCTCTATGATTGTTCATGAAGTAGGCTTAATGAATCTTATTAGACAATATTTTTTAGAAAGGCAAGACTAATCTTAGCAAAGGTTTGGCAAAAAGGCTTTGGGATTTTTTTTTACTCTATGCTGAGCATGCAGTATTTGATAGCCTCTCTGAAGAGGAACATGGTAAAAATAGTAATCGGTGCTTTATGTATAGCAGTGTACTATACGCATAGTAAGGAGCAGTGAGCTAACGTGTGCCACCTAGTACCATTAATATAATGTTCAGGTTCAGTGGTGTTCTGATAACTGAACTCTTCCTCTGGAGAAATTGGCTTCATGGATTCCCATAAACCTGAAGCTGGTGTCAGCTAGCGTTAAAGGGATTGTTTGAGGTTTGCCATGCTCTGATTTTTCTGCCCACCTTTTTGTCCTTTAATTTTGCAATTGATTTTCTAAAGCAAAACGTGAAGAAGGAGACCTTGAACCTCAAAAGATGATTTAGCTATATCTACAAGTTAGTCTGGGATGTGTTTCTCTATGACTGGCTTTACGTGAGCCAACGAGGACCCGGCACTACATGAGAAATTGAGAGAAACTGTGGTACCACAGTGAAGAGACCACTTCTGCAACGGAGTTTTGAAGTTTGTCCAGCAGAAAAAAAAGGAAGTAATACTTCTGTAACACTCAAGAACCAAGATTGTATCAGGGTGGCAAATGTTCAAGTTTTGTGGTCTGATAGGCAGTCATGTTCTTGTTCATGGGAGGCCTGAGTAACTAAAAAAAAAAAGTAAAATTAAAAAGACAGCAAATGCACTAAACTTTCCCACACTTGACAATTTTAAGAGAATTCTTACCTAGCTTCTGAATGAAAGTAGGTGAGACCAGTTTCCATTTTCTTTGAAGGTCCCTCTCTGAGTATTGAAGCCAGGTCATACACACTCCTATTGACAGTATAGGACTTCTGAGTTTTCTCAGCTGAAAAGCTGTAAAAAAGAATTTTAATGTTGGTATAACTATGTACGGATGTTCTCATCTGTTTAGGATTGTCATTAATTATTAACTGTACCCTAAAAGATACTGCTAACCTGGCAAGAGTTGCTAGGGTAGATGCATGAAAGAGCTGCAAGTATTACGGATGCTCTAGGGTTTTGAATTTCTCTGCAGCAGCTGAACTTGTATGTTCATGATCTGCAATATTTAGTGCATTCTGATGTGCTATTAGGTGTCAGACAGAGCTCTGTGTAAATCCTGTTTGTGATGTGTGTCTGATCTTGCACCAGGTCTGAACTTTGTATTTTCCTCCTTGAGTTATGCAGTTACATCAGCCCAAGTGAGGTCAGGCTCTAGCTAGAGGCCCCTTGGAGCTCTGCTACTGTTAGTTGTAACTATGAGAACAATCCTTCCCCTGTGTGTATGAATAAAAAGTTTTTTAAAAAATTATATATTAAAAGAGAATAAGATACACTTACATCCCTGTACATCTTTAGCGAGAGTGAGAAATATCTTCCCTGTCACAGCCTACTAAGATGTAAGGGATAAAAGTTGTTAGGCTACTGTGTGGCAGAGTTGCAAGGAAGGGTATCTTCCTGTGACAAATTCTTCCTTGTTGTGTGATCTCGCTCTTCAATCCTCCCTTCCTTCTGTCACACATCCAGGTGTACTTCTTGCTGTATCTTCACTGCTTTTCTCATCTCTGTGTATTTTGTTCTTGGTCTCTCTCCTTTATTTTTTTATTCTTTACTTACTGCTGTTCTTCTGGCACATTTTTCTGTCAGGTGTTTCTCTCGTCTTGCTTTTTCCCATCCTGATCTTTGAAAGTTTCCAGGAAATATTGTTAAAGCCTTAGTAAGGAGAGAGCTAAACATACACTGCACTGTGCAGTGATACTGTCGGCCGTTGCACTCAGGCCTGAGAAGAGTCCTGGAGTTTGGATGGTGCAACTTCCATGGACTCTGTTCTCAGATCCAGCTTTCTGGAGACAGAACACCTGTTTTCTGCTGCATTTGAAAACTCATTTTCAGAAAGCTGGACAACTTGGTCTTTTTGTCTCTTGCTCACTAGCAAGTGTTGAAATCCTGTTTTCTGTTCTCTTTCATTCTCAAAGGGGTTTTGGATACTTGGGTGGGATTTATGTCTCCACTGTTCCAGTCTTGTGTCTGAGAAAAAAAAAAAATTCCTTAGGGTGTTTTTAATTCCTCCAGCATTCATATCTTTATGATTTCCTAGTTAATATCTTGTTTCTGCTGTTACGGTTGCTCAGTACTTTCCCAGGCAATGGCAGGCTGACACGGCTGTCCGTGACGCCTTAAATGCCATCCCTCGGATACAAGGGTAAATGAGTTTAACTTCCTGAGAACGTGTGTGGTGTCTTTTCCCTTTGCTGTGGTGGCAGCAGAGGAGCCAAACAGACTGCAAACACTCTGCCAGCCACAGCTGAGGAGAGTAATTCTGCATACTGTAAGGACAAGATACTGGGTTTTCAATGAAAACTGTTGCAGAAACTTACGGCTTTTCACGTTGCAGTAAAATTATTTAAGATGCTAATTGAAATAGGCAGGGGGATGGATCCTCCTCATAGCACTGGTATAATTAGTTTGAGGTAGATATGTGTGTATGTGGCAAGAATGGGGTCTGATCGTTTCCTGCAAAGCTGAGTGATCAGATTCCTTTTTATTTTTGTTCTCCTTCCCCCGCTTTTATTTAATGTTGCCAATTTGAGCTTAGTTTTCTTAAATATATACTTGCCATGCGTGGTGCTGTGTGTTGGTTGGGTGCAGAATGATTGCTGCTCATACTTGGAAGAAATGACTGCTTTATTGGACTAGTGAACTCAGAGGGTTTTTTACATGTTTGCACTTTCATTTTTCTGGTATATTTAAAGGATTCCTAGATGAAGTTATGAAGAAATATGGCAGTTTAGTTCCACTCTGTGAAAAAGATGTCATGGGAAGATTAAAAGAAGTCTTTAATGAAGATTTCTCCCATAGGTGTGTAGCGGTATCAAATTCTAGACTTTGTAAAGGACAAATTGCTTGCATTGCTATTGTGCGCTCCACATCTACCACCTAACTGAAGTCCATTTGATGTGACCTTGACTTATATTTTTTTTCTTCTGCCTTTTCAATCCTGTTTTAGAAAACCTTTTATCACCAGGGAAATCATGAAGTATCGGGAAAAACATCCAAAAACCTCCACTTGCAATTTCCGGGTCTTCTATAATAAGCACATGCTAGATATGGATGATTTAGCTACACTGGAAGGCCAGAACTGGCTGAATGACCAGGTCAGAGATGCTTAGTGTTTATGTGCTTCCTTACCCCTTTTTAGCCCTTTTATATCAGGACATCAGTTGTTCATCCCCTGCTACGTTACAGGTGGATTATCCTTACTTTACACTTGAGAAGTACAAGAAGTGGTGAGCAGCTTTTACAATGGCAGGTGCAATAATCCTGGTTGTAAGTCTGGAAGATAGGAGGTGTCACCACTAAACTGTTTCCCTTTGAAGAAAGAATGTTGCACTTTTCTGAGAAAATGGTGGGTACTCATACAGGCTCTAGCATTGCCCTCCCACCCCCAAGCTGGAGCAGATTACAGGAACAGCAGAGTGAAGCAGCAGGCTGTGGCCCACAGCCAAAAAAACCAAGGCGGCTGCAGTGCCCAGGGCATGCACCAGTAGACTTAAATTGAATTAAACTGCTTTTCAGATTGAGGCAGGCTTCTAGCAGCCGGTTACAGTCTCTCTCCGGGCTCACCACTATTAGTTCCAGAGTGCTTGTCCTTCAGACTACAGCAAAATGTTACTGTAATTGCTCACCTCCTTATTGCTGTTTTAAGTGTGAAGGGTCCTATGTTTTATGGGAAGTTGTGAATTTGGGTTTTTTCAAAATTATTCTGTACGTATTGAAATATTTACTAACTCTTACAGATAATTAACATGTATGGTGAACTCATAATGGATGCAGTCCCTGAAAAGGTGAGGGTTTTTGTTATTATGCAAATGTACTTAATGAGAGATTGAGAGGGAAGGGTGAAACATTCAATATTTCAGATAGAGAATTGAGATTTAGCTCAATGATGTTCTGACTGGTTCCATTATAATTTGTTGTGATCTGCTCCTCAAATTTTCTTCATTTCCTGTGCTAAAATACAGTTTTTGGTGCTGTTGCTCTTGTTTCAGGAACTTATTGGATTAGCTCTGCAGGTGGTTTCTGTCATAGCCTGACATTACTGATGTACCTGTAGAAGACAGGTGCCCTATTTTTGCCCATCCTGCTCTCCTTTCCCCACTAGAGGTTTCTGTCTCTGGTTTATCTGCTTCTAAAGTGCTTTATCCATGCCCTTGCTCACCAGTCTGGTGTTTCAGCTGAAATTTCCGCTGAAGATGGATTTCTGCTGAGGTGACAAACCATGAATGGTAGCATCTGAACCATGCACATGTGCTGCTTGCACTCGCCCACCCGCCCACCTCGCAGCTGTGGGGGCCATAAGAGCTCAAACTGCGTCAGCAGCCTGGTGAATGTGAATTGATGCAGAGCTGCTTGGTTCCTTGGCAGTATTGACTCTGCAGGACTCTCTTTGGTTTGTGCATCTTCAACAGAATGCTTACTGCTTTCCAACTGCAGTGTCTTAACTGATGGTGGCAGTTAAAAAAAAAACAAACAAGGGGGAGGGGGGAATAATCAGGAAAACAACCTCCTCCTTCTGTGACTAAATTTGCAGCAGTGGCAATTATAAAAAGCCATCTGTTTACTAGTAGAGCCGAACAATTTTCAGGTGAGACCACAAAAGGAAGAACCAAACAAAGCCACTTTTAGATGAGCTCTGCAGAATCTAACTCTTAACATCTTCAAGCTCAGAAGAAAGCACGTTGTTGCTTTGATTGGTGCTGATGGTGATTCTTCATTAGTATTCTCTGTACTTCCTGAGTGTGTGCTGGGGTTGTGGTATTGGAGATTGTATCTGTTTGCTTGTGTCTGCTTTTTCTTCATAGTGCATAATTGAAATCCTCATGGGAGATTTTGTGCTGGTACCTCAGAATGTGGTTTTGAAGTCTGGCATAGCTAATGGGTGTTAGGCTGTGTTTTCAGATACTGAATTTTCTAACTTTTTTTTCAAGTAATAACTCGAGCTTTCTACCACCTCTACACTAGCAGAATTATTAAAAACAGATGTTGCAGATTTCCATTTGTATTAATCTGTTCCTGTAATTGGAAGAAGCTAAACTAAGTGCAGGGAATAATACTGTTAACCTGGAGCTAAATATTTTTTTTAACATAAGCCTATGGTTTTTGCCTACATTAAATGTAGGGGTTTAGTTACAAAATGGATGTGGTATAACTTAAAAATGCTTTTAAATAGCAGAATTTTGTTTTTGTCTGGAGCTGGTCATAGTAGTTGAATACAAATGACCGTGTTGTTGTATTAAATCCCATAACTGTTTTGATCATTTTTTTTTTTTTGAGTCTCAGAGCTTCCAGCAACTAAAACCAGAAGTTACTCCCTATTCCACCACCCCCACTTTGCCAGTCCAGTGTTCTCTTCCTTAATCCCTGTAAAGAACAACAAAAAACTCCTTTTCCTGGTGTTTTTCTCCCAAGTCTGCCCCAACAAAAAATTAAACATGATATGCCTGGAGATACAAAAGTGTAAATATAAATGCTGCAGTGGCTCACATCATATATCATAGGGAAATAAGGCTTGTTTTATTTGCTCGCTGAGGAACAGCAATAGTTTAGGATTGGCAAAGCCTCCGTTTGTCCCTACTGGGGTTGTCTTTCTAAGCCTGCATTAAATACTGCCTCATTACAAGTTGTTTTGTATAAATTATCCTGGGGGACAGGGGATGACTGTGCATGAAGATTTCTGTGCTCATTCCTCCTCTCTCTCTTTTTTAGGTTCATTTCTTTAACAGCTTTTTTCATAGACAGCTCGTAACCAAAGGATATAATGGGGTAAAACGATGGACTAAAAAGGTATCCTTTAACTCCGTGTCATCAGTGCTCTGGTTCTTTTGGGCTGGGTTGAATCACTAACCTGAAACTGGGTTACAATGTGTTACCTGCAAAGGAGCTATACAAAGTGAGGAGAGGTTAATAAAAGTAGTAGGGTGGCACTATTCAAGGTAGTAGATTATGTTATGAATATGTACTTTGAATGGCTTCATTATTGGTGGTAGGTTATCTCTTTGTGTATGTTCATGCAAGCTGTTAATTTAGCTGCAAGAAATGTCTTTTACTGCTCCTGACAGTGCCAGGTACGCTAATCTGCAGGACAGCAGACTTAATTCTGCTTCTTCCTTTTATCTTAAGCTGGGATTGTTTGATAAAATCAAATTGTTACTCCTGAGTAATACATACAGGTACTAGAGACCAGAAGTTGGAGACCAATAGTTAATAAGCCAAACTGTTGTTTGCATGACAAGAACAGAATTCACCTTGCTTTCCAGAACTGATACCAGATCATGGGTTGTGATATTTTCTAAGATAGCTAATACAAAAAGCAGTTCTCTCTTTTACTGTGAATATTTGTCCTTTCTAATATGGGAGATGAGGCAAGACTAATCAAGGGCCATGTTTGAATGTATGATCTTTCTGCAGAAGCACTTAAATAGCACACATCTGTGAAATGCTAGAGATGAACTCATTATCCAAATATAAAATCTATTCATATAATTTATTAAAATCTCTTTAAAGAGAGACTGAATATTGGTGCTTAATATTCCCAGATATTTTTTTTTAATGTTCTTTTTCTCCAGCAACCAAAGTTTTGCAAAAAAGTGAAGGTAGGTTCTGAAAGCAGAACCTGTATTCATGGTGCTGCTGAGGAGGGACCAGATGAGAGCAGGACAATTGTTTAGACATTTACACTTACATTCCTGAAGAATCTCCAAGGCAAGGATGAGAACTAAGCAGCTTCTATAGGAAGGATTCAGTAGACTGCTTTGTCCTGCAGTATGTAATTAAGGGGATCTTATTTCTGCTCTTTAAACACACCAGGGTATTGTACCAGGGTTTATAAATGTGCTCTCCTGGGATACAGGACGGCGGAGCCTAGAAGAACGTGCTCTTCTGCGTCCAGCTGCAGTGGTTTCAAAGTTCCTCTTGGTGTCTGTCCTTTCTGGCCACTGATCACATTGGCACTCCTGCTCTGATCCACTGTCATGTCAGCTAGTTGACTCTGCACTGTCTTGGTGAAGCAAATCTAGGTTGCCACCATTCTTTCTGTACATCAGGTCTTAACTAAAGACCCTTCCAGCTTTTGGCTGCCTCTTTCCACTCTTCTGCTATAGGTTTGTGTGCCTGCAGCAGTCCCACAACAAGGGTCATGTGAGGACCCTTGACTTTTGCGTGGCTCTGCTGTTGCTGGACATCACAGCAAGTGTAGTTCATTTGTCTGTTTACAGTTTTGCTCAGTGGGCTCAGCTTGCTGCTGGCTGACATCCTTTGCTTCTCTCCAAGAGCGATGGATCATTGTGTAGTGAGTGGGCTGTAATCTGGTCAGGAAGCAGTTTCTGCAGGTGGGAGCAGGGATCGTCGATGCTTGTGCCAATCAAAGTACTGTTGTGAGCAAGGCTCGGCTGATAACTGCTGTGAATGCTCAGACTGTTTTGTGCCTTCAGATTCCTACTGTTACTCAAGAAATACGCTTTTCTTTCCTACAAATGACCTGCCTTTACCAGTAGTGCAGCAATTATATACTGTTCAAATTGCACAGTGCTTAAAAAAAAAAAGCAGCATAGAAATCTTCCCACAGGATGAGTTAATTTAGTTCAGTATTCTATTTTTGCTTTTTTTCTGGACTGTACCACCAAAACCCCAGCAATTAGACAACCATTTCAAGAGTAGCTGGGAGAAGGAAAATCATGAAAGGCCCTGGCTTGACTGGCTTCCAAAAGCATAAGGGCTCATCTGCCACACAGACACCGGGGGTGTTGTATCTGATCTACTTGTTCTGTACTTTAAGACCTTCTCCCTTGTTTGCTTGCCTGTGACCACAGTACATCTGCTGCAAAGTTAAGTTCAAGAAAGGATGAATCTGCTCTGTCTTCACACCCTCCCTTCCTCTGCTCACCAAAGCATCGCGCGTTCCTCCTCTGCCTTCCTCTGACAAGTTGCAGATCCTGTGTTACAGCAGAGGGAGTCAAACTGCACCAGCTTGCTGGTGGTGTGGGGTGTTTGTAATCACAACAGCTTCATCAGTCGCCTATCCACAGTGCAGGTCTGATAGAAATCAGTGGTGGTCATACTGCAGGAGTGTCACTGCTGAAGATATGTAGCTAACCCAAATTGAGGCTCGACTATATTACCATCATTACTTAAGAAATCCCATGTCGATGCAGATGTTAAAGTGTAATGTGAGCAGGCTTTTGCCACAAATACATTGGTGACTAACTCTGGTACTGTACAATGCTCCTTAGCCACTTTCTGAGCTGTGAGGGTATTTTTGTGCCTGCTGATAAGTTGTATGTGAGATAAGCATGAGGAATGTGGTGGAAGAGGGGAGGGTGAAAAAGACAACTTCAGTTAGGGGGTGGAGAGGAGGCTTAGATATGATGAATCTCTTGCTTTGCAGTGTTGTGCCTGTGGAATTGTCTCTAATGTACATTGTTCTTCTTGCCAGGTGGACTTGTTCAAAAAGACTCTCTTATTAATTCCCATTCACCTGGAAGTCCACTGGTCCCTCATTACTGTGAACATCCCCAATCGAATTATTTCGTTTTACGATTCTCAAGGCATTCATTTTAAGTTTTGTGTAGAGGTAAGAGTGACAGCTGTGTCTGCAAATGTTGACGTTTTCTTAAACAAACCACCCCCCCTACCCCTTTTCCTGTTCAGCCTTAAACTTTAAATGCAGTGTGTCTGTTGTCCTGCCGTGTATGAAATAAGAATCAGCTTGTCCTGCTGAGGAATCTGAAGCACAAACCTGGAGGGTCACACCAGAGCTGGGAGTTGAGGTCAGATTGCCTATTGCCTAATTAGCCTGAGCGTGTAATCGGCACACCTTTTGTTGCTCTGTCTGGTCACTGCCACAAAAAGCAGCGGCTCAAAGCCAAGTGCTACAGGGAAGCAGACTTGCCAGAAGGAAAGCAGAGGCAGTTCTTTAAACTGCTGAGGGACTCGTGTTTAGGAAATGATAAATTGTGGTCCTTTTGGAGGGAGGTTGCCTGGGGGAGAGGACAGGACCAAAGATGCTGTAGTGCTGCCCAGTGGGGTTTACATGTTACTGTGCTATTCACAGCATGTTGCCTTTTTCCTGTCTGCATTGGTACGGGATGCATACCTCTGATTATAACCTGGCAACCTTTCAAAGCTGTGACCTGAACACTCGAGTTAAACTATCAGTCTTCCTGGTAAAAAGCAGCCAGAAAATTTTTTGCTGGGACTAGCAAACTGTAATGACCCTCTTAAAAAAGCTAATTTTGTCAACTTAATTGCTTGCTTGATGCAGCAGCCCTCTGCTTTTAACTGTGTGTAGTTGTTGGCTTACAGAAAAGTAGTAATTATTGTACCCAGGAGAGTTCCCAGCTAGGACTTCTGAATGAAGATACTAGTTTCCTGCTGGCATTTGCTGAGGACAAACTAATGTTTGTTCTGGGAGCGAGAGACCTCATGCTCTCCAGCTTCTGAACTTGCCGGGTAAACCAGGGGTTTCTCTCAGGAGCCCTATGGTCTCTCCTGCAGTTTTGCAACGTGGCCTCTCCCACCCCACTCCAGGCAAGGCATTTGCACTCTCAAACATGAGACATTCCTGCCCTTTGCAGGGGAAAGGGGGGCAATACCCCAAACTCCACTGCGATCCATCCACTAAGGTGAATGTTAGTGCGCTGGAGCGTGTTTAAATTGTGCTATAACCACCAGCCTGTTTACAGAGAAGTAGAAGGATTTGTTTAACCCAAGACCATAGGCTCATTTATCTTGCTTCCTTCTCTTCGCTTGTGTCAGACTATTTTTTCCTGTATGTCACTAAAACTCTCCCTGGAGCTTTGTTGATTAGCTGCAGAACTCAAAGTGTTGTGTATTGAGATTCAGGCAGGAAAGTGCTATCACATTGAATGTAAGGGTCTTGGTGTCAGCCAAGTAAGCCAGAAGAGAACATATGCCAGACTGCGCTGTCTGAGAGCCCTCTGACTCTGTGCCTGAGTGCCACAGCTGGGCTAGTATTAAGTATACTGGTGTATGGTGGGGCTGAGGGGTGTTAAAGCTCCCCTTGATAGACCAAAATGACCCTTGATGGTAGAAGGCAAGTACCCACCAGAGTTCATCTCTTTACGTCTAGATCTGAGCTCAGCCCGTAATGCTTAACACTCACCTGAAATTTATCCTTGTTGTCGAAAGGATACCAGCAAAGATGTCAATGTCTCTCTCCTGTTCTTTAGCTGGTTGTGGTGGGTTCACCTTGGGTGGATGCCAGGTGTCCCCCAAGCCACTCTCAGCAGGACAGGGAGGGGTGAAAAATAAGACGGAAAAACCCCTCATGGGTCAAGATAAAGGCAGTTCAATAAAGCAAAAGGCCGTGCATGGAAGCAAAGGAAAACAAAAGATTTATTGTCTACTTCCCATCAGCGGGCAATGTCCAGCCACTTCCCAGGAAGGAGGGCTTCAGCATGTGTAGTGGTTGCTCCAGAAGACAGATGTCGTAAATAACGAATGCGCTCCCTTCCTCCTCCTTTCTTTAAGCTTTTATTGCTGAGCAGATGTCATATGGGATGGAATATCCCTTTGGTCAGTCGGGGTCAGCTCTCCTGGCTGTGTCCCCTCCCAAGATCTCGCCTGCCCCCAGCCCACTGGTGAGGGGGGAATGTTGGAGGGACAGTCTTGATGCTGTGCCAGCACTGCTCAGGAGTAGCCACAACACTGGTGTGTTATCAACACCTTGCTGGCTAAGGATACGCAGCACTGTGAGGGCTGCTCTGGGGAAAATTGACTCCATCTGAGCCAGACCCAATACACTGGTGAATAACGTTTTGCTCTTTTTCGTTTCCTTTTTGAAGAACATTCGAAAGTATTTGTTGACTGAAGCAAAAGAGAAGAATCACCCCGAGTTTCTTCAGGGTTGGCAGACTGCTGTGACAAAGGTAAATGGCAGCACTTTGAGCCCTGGAGTCTGACTTTCTGGGAGATTTTTAGGAGGCTGCTTCTAAACCATAGATTTGTACAAGTAGTAAATTATTGTACTACTGGTCACGAGGAGGGTGATACGAGCAAGGCAGGTGTTACACATGGGAACGAGAGCTCTGTTGCTCATTCGGCTCCTGCCAGGTCTTTAATACTTTCTGCAAGTAACTGGTGATCTGAGACTAATCTCTGGACAATTAAATGTCCGTGCAGCAAAACCTGTAGCTGATGCCCACGTTGGCACAAGGTCAAGGACTGAATGAGCTGGAGACTTCCTGACTTCTCCTAAAAGGACTGTTCTGAACTATGCTGAACAGATGGGGTTTGGTGAGGGAGGGAACAGGCTAATGCTGCTACTGCCTATATTTTATATTTGCTATGGATAGAGAGCGTTGGTCTGCAGGGCTGTTTGTGGCATATTACGTTTGATCATAAGTAAACAAATTTTTGTGACAATAAAAGGGAATAACTTGTGTTTATTGTAAATGAGGTACTATGTGATTTGTGTGGCCATAATGGTGCCAAAGATATAAAACAGGTCATTGCACACTGGACATACTCCCAACAGCTCCCTCCTTGCACAGGTTTATTTTTAGATGCTGATACAATGATGAAATGACTCCTCTCTGCACTCATGCACACCCTGGGCAATCAGAGTTTGTCCTCCCACATTCTGTGAAGAGGATGATCTGGGACTTGAGGAAAAAAAATTACTTTTTCTCTTCAAGTGCCAGAGACATAGCAGCAGTGTGAGTGGGGCTTTTTAGCTCCACATATCAAAATTGAGCATGTTTGAAGAAATAACAAAGTTTGAAAGATATCATTTGAGACTATCTTACTCAGTACTGTCGCCTGACAACGTACCACCCCTCATGTGAGACTGGGGACGGAAAGCCCCTGCCAGTAGCATGGATGCGGAGAGTAATCTTCCTCTAGGCCTGTGTGACTTTGCTGATATAGTTTGGTTCTGTGTAAAGCAGATAATGCTGTACAAACATTTATTTAAACTAATTGAGAAGCTGTTCTGCGTAGGTCACTAAAAGAAAATAAACTTGAAAGAAAGATTTGTAATTTGTTTTCTGTCCTATACTATATATTTTTCTAAATGTTAGGTGTTATTCTAACAAGGTGTTGAGTGTCACCTTGCAAAAGTTGACATCAGAATAAGTAATTACAACTCCAGTTTCTAGTGCTGCAGAACAGCTAGCTCTGAGAAGGAGATACCTGATCATTATACCAAATCTCCTTTTGGACTTTAAGTAGGAGTTAGAGAATAAAAGAGTAAGTAAAGATCTAACGTGTCTCTTGTTTCTTTTGCTTTTAGTGCATTCCACAACAGAAAAATGACAGTGACTGTGGGGTTTTTGTGCTCCAGGTAAGTGTACTCCTTTTTAAAAATCAGTGGCCTGTATTGTTCATACAGCAAATGTCCTTTTTTTTTCAATCAAGCCTTTTCCTTTTCCTCAGTACTGCAAGTGCCTCGCCTTAGACCAGCCTTTTCAGTTCTCCCAGGAAGATATGCCCCGAGTGAGAAAAAGGATTTACAAGGAGCTGTGTGAACGCCAGCTAACAGAATAATAAAATGCAGCCAACCTAATTTCTCTGGCATTTCTGACAAGTTGCAGCTGGTGTTTGTGTACTTGAATTCTGAAAACTTCCGTGAATTTTGGGCGATTCTCAGCTGAGTGGTGTGGCCACTGTTGTTACCTCAATTTTTTGACAAGCTCTTTAACTGGCAGAACATAAAAGAGCTGCCATAAAATATTCCTTATGTCAGTTTGATTCTCTTATGTTCTTTCCTGTATTTAATATTTATTATCTCAGCATGCATATAGGCAAAGCATGCAACTAAAATCATAAAACTGTAGATTTGGTGCACCTTTGAGATGTAGCTAGAAATGACAAATACAGGTGATTTTGTCTGGAAACATTAAGATGCATGATATGTTTTCTGATGCAATAATGCTTTGAATGTATTGAAAAAAATCAATGCCATAAAAAGAACAGCTAGAACCTATTTGATAGTTCCATTGTCCCTGTTGTGGCTGTATGATACTGAATTACCACTTTTCAGGGTGGCTAAACTCATCTACAGATTTAATTTGTGGAGACCCCTTTTTTTAAATAGTTCAAGTTGCTAATAAAATTTGTTCTGTTAACATTTATCCATCTGTCATTATCAGCCTGTCCCTAGAGATAAAAAGCAGCCTTTGCACAGCTAAAGCTTCAGCACTTGTCTGTATAATAAAAAGTACAAAGGTGTTCAGTCAGATCGATGGTATGTTCCTCTATGCTGCAGAAGTCTCCATGATGTGTGTATTAAGGAGGATTACAAAGCTGGCCCTGAAGAGCCACAGCTTAGATACTAAGATAAACTCCTTGGCTGTAACTGTTTAAATCTCAGATGGCTTTGGGTCTCTTTCCAGTTCCACAATACGCAATGAAATGTACCATTTCAGCATCTCTCCCTTCAGCTCTGTCTTCAGATGAATTCCCTTCAAGCTTGTCGTGTTTAACCTCCCATTGGCTTTTGCCTTTGTTCAAATATAAATTAATTCTTCTCTGCTGCATCTGCTGTTTGATTGTCTCAAACATCCCTAGTTTTGTTTGCGTTCAGTAGAGCTGATGGGTCTGGTTGGGAATAATAGCACTTGTGGTGGATGCTGTACAAACACAACCAGATGATGTCATTCCACACCAGTGGGGCGGGAGGCTGGGAGTCCAGCGCTGAACTTTGCCGTGTTGTTGCACTGGGCATGGCTAAGGGAGAGCAATGGATCTTGAGACTTTTGGGGTTTTTGTCTTGATCTGTAAACTATGATGTGCTCTTTGCTGGAGAGAGCTAGTTTTGTTTGAAGGAACCGTTGTATGGGACTGCTACACCAGCAAATGTCTTCGCTGTGTTTTTTCTGCCAGATAAAGGAGTGAGCCCAGAGGAAAACTATTTTAAATGCTAAACATCATCTGTTGCACAGCTTCACTTTGTGTCTGTCCATAGCCCTGAGTTCTGATGGAGGAAAACCACTTTGAGTTCCCTGTCATGTAAATTAATTCAGACTTGAGCTAAGCCAGGTGCAAATCCCTCCTAGATTACAGAAGCGAGCAGGGAGAAGCGAGGGAGTGCCAAGTGCAGTCAGGCCGGGAGATGGAAGCATGTGCACGCTGTGTTCTGCTAGAGAAGGAGGTCCTGCAGCATCCTTGTGTGTTGCCACTTCCCCTTGTTGGCAGCTGGCAAGGACTGGCTTAATTTAGCAAGATAAGGAAGGTCTTAAGCACTTGTTTAAATTATCTAACCAAGGAACTTAACTAACTTAACTGAATTGGAAAGAACCTTAAGGCTCAGACGGGCTAAACATACATTTGTCCATCATATGGTGCAGAGCGTCCCACAGCACTTAGTTTATTTGTGTTTCCCTGAAGGGTTACTGATAGGAACAGCAGGACCTTCTTGGGGCAAGTGACTGTGAGCAGTGGAGGGTGCATTCCATGAAATTTGGAACTTGGGATAGATGTGCTGGGGTAGAACGTGTGAGCCAGTGCTGCCATTCTTGTGTCTCTGCAGTGCTGTCCCATGAATGGTGCAGATGCTTATGCTGCTGTGTGGTGGGACCAGCCAAACTGATCCAGGCTAAAACTAACCCAGCCAAAAGGCTGCTTTTAACCCAGAGGACAGGGGAGTTCTCACCTCAGTGTAACAACTTGTCACTGAATGTGTACACCAGCGTGAACAAAGAGGGAGAATTGAATGGCCAGCAAGGGACACAAAAGCAGTGTCAACTTCGGATGCGTGCAAGTGAAGCTATATTCTCAAGCAAGACTCCCTGCAGAAAGGGAGTGAAATACAAAAAGGGAACTGCATAAGCAAGTTGCCTTTATTTTCAGAACTTAGGCTATTTGGTTAGGAAGCTTGAAAGGTGTGCTGTGATAGTGTACCAGCCTGGGAGACTCAGTGCCTTCAAGACAGACCCTTATTTTTTTGTGGAAGTTGCCTCATTGATGGATATTTTTTATTGGATCACCTTTCCTGAAACTTGGTGCCTGCCACTGGTTGGTGGGAATCCATCTTCCTCTGTATGAGAGGTTGGGAGGAGTCTTTAATCGTGATCCCTTAATCAGTGACATCAGTAAAAGGATGGTATTTCTGTGAACTTTGTGTTTAACAGGAACATGGATGCTTTGAAGGAAGTGCATATGTGTACCAGATCATTTGGGGGGGGGGGCGGGGATTGCATTTGAATCTGCTGCCTTGCGAATTGGGGAACAGGGTGGGGAAAGATGCATGTTGGAAAGTACTTCTTATGTGCTTTCTTGTCATTTAGAGGTTTGCTGACAAGTGTTCCAGTTGGTTATGGGGCAGTACAGAGGAGTTGCACTTGAGTCTCCAGCTGTGAACATACCAGAGAGAGGCCTCTAAAAAAAAAAAAAAAAAAAAAGGAGGGGAAATTGAAAACAGAGCTAATGTAAGCAAAGTATGTTGGTGCAGGGTTGGAATTAATCACAGGCAGTCAAAATCTCAGACTCTGTAATGGTGTATCCTGTGAAACTGGACTAATTAACTCCTCCTTGAGAATGTCTTTGATGCCTTAAAGGAGATGGACTCCATAATCTCTAGTTATTTTACCAGTTCTTAAAACATTCAGAGCTATGTAGAGTGTTTTTATTATGAGAGGCACATTTATGTGGATGTAGTGATGGCTGTTAGCAATTCCATTAATGTGATCTTCAGAATTTCATAAATCGCTCTGAACTGGTTTGGCTGATGCTTAAATTTCACGACTTCTTCCAAAGAGATTGTCTCACTGTGTTGATTTATACAAATAGTCCCAGAACTGGTGAAATCTCCATCTCATGCGCGACAAATTTAAGCTACCTGAGTTGTAATAAACCTTAAGCACAATTGGAAATAAATTATTAGTTTCCATTTTGTTTGCTTTAATCTATAGTTTAAAATGACTGTGCAGCTGATATAAATTAAAAAAATGTGGCCTTGATTCTGCAAGGTAAGTAGAGAAATGCCTCTTGCTGAGCTGTTAGATACTTGCGGATTGGAGGCTGGACCTTTGTACTATCTAACGTGCTGTTGCTCTGTTCTTACCTGGCCCTCTGAAGTGTGAAGGTGATATTTTGAATGTTTCACTTGCACCGATTACAGAGCCAGACAGGCTTGCAGAGAGTTGCTGGCTTGTGTTGAATCTCTAGCATAATGCTTAACCTATCTCTCAGAGTTTTGATTGGCATTACCTACTGTAGCATTTACTCAAGTCGAAAATTCAAACCTTGGGAAGTGACGTAGACTTAACTCCACCGAGCAACAAAACAGTGTTTTGTGGGTCTATTCTTGCATCGAATGAAGCCCGTGTTCCTGTGAAGTAATAAAATTGAGTTTTACCATGAACTTTATTTTCTTTCAGCAGTTTGGTTTCATTTTAATTTTAAAAGCAACTGAGGTGATGGTTGAGGGGATGTTTGTAGCAGCTTGTTTGGGATCTATGTTATTAGAAGCCTCTCCAGTTGATTAGTTCAATAACTCTGAACTGTACGCTAATGATGCTCTCTGTTCTGTAGCACCACAGCAATATAACTTACTGTGGTTTGAGCTGTGACAACATACAAGATTGGAGATGTCACATATTGCATAAATAAGGGTGGAAATCTCACGTTAGACACTTTCTACTAAGGTGGCATTTAAAAAACACAAATCTGTCAACAGAACAGGTAGGGCTTAAATTGCTTTTCTAGATCAAACTAAATTAATGCTGCTCTTGTATTGCTTGTTGATTTAGCTATGTAACTATAGAGTTAAATCTTGTCTTCGCTGAGTTTTACAAAGCCATACAGCTTGTGAATTTGTGATAATGGGGGGAATGAAGGCTTAGTGAATGTCTCTTTAAGCTATTAATCATGAGACCGGCAACATCATTGTCTTTATTACATTCATAATTTAAAAATCCTATCATGGAGGAGGAAACATGGATGCTTGTTAAATATATTTTACAGTGGAAAGTAGTAAGAAATCAGATCATTAAAGTACAGAATCATAAGAGACACTAGAGTCTTGCCAGGAACAGTAATTACTATTTATATGTAATAGGCATTGGGAGGAAAAGAGATGAGTCTGGTTTGCTTGTACCTGAACTTAATGGATTTTATGAGTAACCAACTAGAAGGATTTGGGGATTGAATTTTGTTTTCAGTGTGTAATATTACAAACTATAGAGCTAAAAACTGTTGCAAACTGAGTGAAATACCTTGACAAATCAACTGAGTGGTTGTCTCTCAACACAAGTAAGCAGAACATGTGCGAAGCAGCTCCAGCTCCTGCCTGAAATTCTGATGAGTTCTTAATTCTTGCGTTTGATCTGAGCTTTGCTGGTAACGCATCTCCTGTAATGCAGCACTTTCTTGAGGTTGCAGACCTTACCTAATGCTTAGGTTACCTGGGGCCTTTTATGGGCGACTTTGGGAAGTGGCTGAGAGGAGAAGGGATCAAAAAATCCATTGGGGAATCTGCACCGCCTTGTGATAAATGTGTCGTGGGAGGCAGGGCAGGGGAGAAGCTGAGCTTTAAATAAGATATATTTAACTGGATGATGTGGGTCAGGTCATGTTTATGGTACATAAGCTTGATGCAGACAAGGAGCCATCTTGTTTATGGAAAACTTTGGGATGAGTGGGGAAGAGATGCCTTCTGCAGGGACGATTGCTCTGCTGTGCACATAGGGACGCTACTTGCTTCAAGCCCGTGCATTTTAGATCAACTTAATGCAGGCAGCAACTGCAGCAAAGGAGGAAACTCCCTCCGCAGCATTCAGCCGAACATCACGTTTGTTTAGGACAATCGTGGCTTGACAATTTATCCTTGGCATCTCTGACAGCTCCAGCCTATTGAAAAGCAGACAAGCGTGCTTCAGCTGCCCGAAGGCTCTTATAGATTGAGTCGATTCCAGCTCACCTTTCAGTTCCTGGCTTCTTTGGGGTTTCAGGGTTGAGGTTTTCTTTGTTTTTAAAGAAGTCTGAGGCACAGAGGAGTTTTAAGGTGTATCTTCAATACATGTAGTCCTCATTCAGGAAATTTGTCTTTGGAAGTCTGCTTTCGGTTTTGCATACTGAAATGTTTCTGTTTCTTGCACAATTAGTACAAGTTGGCAATCTTTAAATGCTGGTGTTAATGGGCAGAAAGAGACTTCAGGGCTTAATTTTTGGCAGAGTTTTGTTTTTTGTCCTCTGGTGGATCACACGTTAGATGAATGAGTGTTTGGGGTTTTTTCCATTAGAACATAAATGTATCTAAACGATGCTGAAAAACTCTAGGATAATGAAATGCAGTGCCTTAAATTTATGTCCACTCAGGATTCTTGTAGACACTTTATTGTTCCCAGACAGGATGCTCGGTCTTTAGAAGGGACTGGGATGTACCTGGAGGGAATCAGTGCTATTTGGAAAGCAGGGAGTGTACAGTTCAGTTCCCAAAATCACTATTTGATCATTTTACTAGAACATACATTAGAAACTGAGCACTCAGGTCCTGGTGAAGTTCTTGGCAGGGCTGCAGCTTGTGCCCTTTCGTGTG